GGGGGGGTTAAGCTCTTCAGGAAAAGCTGCTGGATGTCAAGGAGCACGGATGGACTCCAGCCCGTGGCCTGAGCCTGCTCCACCACCTCTCCACCAAGCAAGCAGCGTGCTGGTGGTGCACAACCACAGCGTGCTGGTGGGCAGGATTTGCCCTGAAGGTTTGCGAGGGAGGGGATGCGGTCTCGGGCTGTGAGAGGGGCGGGACGCCTGTGGTCTGTACGGGCCACCTCTGCCCGCGGCAACCTCCCCATCATCTCGTGGCATCGCAGCATTGCATCTTTACAGGGTGAGGGGATTGAATTTTGGAGTCGGTGCTTGTTCTGCTGTTGTTCTCCGTCGGGAGAAGGCGAATTTGTCTCCTTAATGCAGTCACAAAGAAATCTTTGTGCGACTGAAGCATCAGGACACCTGTCTGCCTATTGAACCTCGGTTGTGAGCGAGCATCCCCACTTGCTCGTCTGACTTTCTTTTCCACCGCGTGCTTTCTTGCTGGCTTTGTTTTGGTTTGCTTTGTTTTGCATTCCCCCCGGCTGCTGTAATCCTCCTGCTCGGGTAACATCGCCGCCGGTTCGGCATCAAGAATCACAGAGCGGGACTCATGCCATGTACCCAGCAGCGTGGCCCAATTTGGTGCTATCAAGAAAAGGACGGTACTCTAAAAAGGGACATGCAAGCAGTTGCTTTATCTGGGGAAAGTATCCTTAAAACAATACGGAAAACAAAAATGGAGTACAATTTTCTTTCCTGGACAAAACACGTCGATGGAGCTGGTATTGTGGTAGTCGCTTCTCCCCCACCTCTTCTCTGGAGGCAGAGCCCATCACCTGGGATCACCTGAGGTGCATCTTCATGGTGCTGCCATGCCCACCGCGCATCCTCTGCCGTATGGCTTGCCGCGTGCTGACTCAAAATGTCCACTCTGAAATAAAATCGCTTTGTCTGTATCTATATTTATCCATTTGTCAGAGTATGAGCGCCACCTTGCCCTTCGCAGAAGGCTGTCACCTATTTTTGGAGTTTCCCAAACTTAGGGGAAGTTTTTTTTTCCCCCACCTTTCCGGCACCATCTGGACGTGGTGTTGAGTTGAGGCTCAACTTGAAGCTCGCTGCGATGGCTCGGAAGCACCTCAGGTGTGACAACCGCCGGTGAAAAGGAACGCGAGAGCGATTGTTGCACCGGTTGGCAGGAGCGGCCACCCCCGGGGCTGGCAGGGTTCGGCCCGCAGCCAGCGCCACCGCTGTGATTTAAATTTTAGCGCTCGGGCGAGGCGCCTGCCTTGGCACCGAGCTTGCCACGTAGCCGAGGCGAAGCATGGCTGAACGTGCACGTTCCAGGGGACGTAGGGGATTTACGAAATACAGAGGGTTATCTGCATGTTTGGGGACAGTTATCCGGAAGGCACTTTTGCTGGTCAGTGAAATGAAATGAACTGAGCCTGTTCTGCTCAGCCCTGGCTGGGTTTTCCGCTCCCCGGCATTAAAATCCACGTGCAAACGATAAATAGGGAATAGTAGAAGTTTGAAGCAGCAGTGGAGCGGGGTCGGAAAAGAGAAAAGAAACTGAGAAGCGTCAATTTTCCCTGCTGGCGTTTTCTGAGATTTCATACTTTTAAGGGATCAAGATCATCGATGCGCTGCCACAAACGTACAAAAAACAGAGAGAATCAGGAAAATGAACTGAATTTACACAGATGAGCATTAGCAGCGGAGCCAGGCTTCTGTGGTCATGTTTACAGCGCCGAAAATCATCCTTTGGGTGGGAGTTTCCACCGACTCAAGAAGGAAAGGAGGAAGGAGACGGCCGCTGGGGACTGTTAATCTGTCCAAGCGCAGATGTCCTGGTTTGTCCCAGAGCAGAAAATGAGAACTTTTCCATTACCCTCAGGAGCAGCTGCAAAAAGAGATGCAACGAGAAGGAAAGCTGCTCTCTCCCCTCCCTGACTCTGTTTTTTGGACTGCTTAAAGAATAAAAAAGCCGCACGCAAGTTGTCGGGCTGTGTCTGATGTGGAGAGTTGGCCCCAGCCCGTGGGATGTTGATGTCCACGGAGACCTGCCGGGGCTCTGAAAGCTCACGGCACCATCAGATGCTGTGTTACAGCTCCTGTGCGTGCAGGAAGGGAAAGCAGAAATCTCTCCTTTTCAGCATTTATCCTCCTTGATGACATCCACAGCAGCCGGTCAGGGAGGACCCAACCCGCCCTGTGCTGTCTGGAAGAGCCCTAATATTGGGGTCTTGCCCAAAAGAGGAGTGGTTGGAGCCCAGGAACACCCCTAGGGAGGCTGCAGAGCGGCTGCTGCCTGTTTCTGGTCTTGTGGCACCATCCAGTGGCTGCTGGCAGAGGACTGTCACTTCCCCGTCACCACCATGTGTCCCCTCGCAGCCCGGCTCCTCAGGGCCCTGGGGACCAAGGTGGTCTTCCGAGCATCAGCAGCCACCAGCGCGGGTGGCTCGTCCAGGTCCTCCAGGGAGGAGGTGTCCAGGTCACCGCTGTCACCTGCAAACTGGAGAGGAGCACAGAGGAGGGGCACAGCAGGGTCAGACCCACACCCCACGTTCGCACCCTGGTCCCCACCCCCCTACTACATGTCAACGGGGATTTCTTCTCCATCACGCTGATGCAAAAATTAGAGCAAAGAGGGCCAAACGTGGTTGCATCGGGACACCACACAGGAGACTCTTTCTCTGTTTTCATGGCTTGCAAATTGTCCCATAAACTTCATGCTTTACTTCTCTTTTTTTATTATTTTTTTTTACTTTGCCAGATGAAGGCTTAGAATTTCATTGCCTTCAAGGAAAAAAAAAAAAAATTTCCCAGTATTTGTGCCAGGGCGTTCCTTGGGTAAATCTTTCATAAATTATTTTTTTTTTCCTCCTAAAAAAGCAATTTGATTCTGACACTGCCACCGCTTTAATTACATCAGCTCTCCCCCACAAATTGAGGTTATGTTTAAGTCCCGTTATAGTAATTTAATAATTCCACCATTGCATCACTCCAATTATCTCTGGATTTGTTCCAGAGACCTTTCCTCAATTTGATTCTCTGCTGCGTACTGTTTTTGCTCCCAATTGCATGAATAATGATTTTATTTTATTTTATTTTATTATTTTATTTTCCCCATCAAGAGGTTGAACAGACAAACATTAGGGGAAGGACAGACGTCTGTAACTGGCTGAAGGGGCCAAGTCTCTGCTGCGATAAGTTTGAACTCCCTGTGCCACTGCTGATGGGTAGGAGCTCAGAAAAGGGCATGACGTGCCTTTGTTTTTTCTTTTTTATGGAAATTATGCCAGAAAACATCCCTGTGGCCATTTGCACACGGTACCTGGAGTTTCTTGGTGGGCTGGCTGGTTTTTGGTGATGCCGAGCTCAGGGCTGGGAAGAGTTTCGCCCCACCAAGCCGTCTCTGGGCCACTGCATCCAGATGTCTCTCCAAGAGCCTCACCATCGTGGATGTGGCTGTCCCTGTGCAGGGCACAGCAGGTTAAACAGGGAGCCCCAGCGCACAGTGATGGCACAGCTGGGTGAGAAGGGAAGGGACCACCAGTTGCCCCAGGGTGAACTTGTTTCTAAATAGCTTAATCTCGTTAGCACTGTCTGGACCCATCCCAACGGAGCTGTTTCAGGAAGCAAATGTTTGGTGAATTGAATAAATGGATTGGGATCAATGGCTGGAGAGCAGCCCTGAGGAGAAGGCCCTGGGGGGGCTGATTGATGAGATGCTCAGCATGAGCCAGCAATGTGCGATCACAGCCCAGAAGGCCCACAGCATCCGGGGCTGCATCAGAAGTGTGGCCAGCAGGGCGAGGGGGGGATTCTGCCCCTCTGCTGCGCTCTGGGGAGACCCCCCTGGAGTACTGCCTCCAGCTCTGGAGCCCCCAACACAGGAGAGACGTGGACCTGTTGGAGCGGGGCCCGAGGAGGCCCCGGAGATGCTGGGAGGGCTGGAGCCCCTCTGCTGGGAGGAGAGGCTGGGAGAGTTGGGGGGGGTCAGCCTGGAGAAGAGAAGGCTCCGGGGAGACCTCAGAGCCCCTTCCAGTGCCTAAAGGGGCTACGGGAGAGCTGGGGAGGGACTCTGGATCAGGGTGAGGAGCCACGGGACAAGGGGGAACAGTTTCAAACTGGAAGAGGGGACATTTAAGTGAGATATGAGGAAGAAATTGTCACTGTGCGGGTGGTGAGCCCCTGGGGCAGGTTGCCCCGAGAAGCTGTGGCTGCCCCATCCCTGGAGGTGTTCAAGGCCAGGTTGGACGGGGCTTGGAGCAACCTGGGCTGGGGGGAGGTGTCCCTGCCCAGGGCAGGGGGGTAGAATGAGATGGTCTTTAAGGTCCCTTCCAACCCAAACCATGCTATGAATAAACCCTGGGGGTTTCCCCCCCCCGACACAAGCACTGGGTGGGTAACCCTCCAGTACATGTAAGGATGCTGGAGGAACCCTCCATCCGCACGCACAGCCCGGGCTAGCAGTGTGACACGCAGCACCGAGGGCTCTTTTTTGGCCTGGGGCACACCACAGTCACGTGCAAGGAGTACCTGCTGCTCTCTGCAGTTAATGCATAGGTGAAAGGTGCCTCCCACCGCCCCCAACTCTCTGAGGGGCCCGAATTGCCGATGGATAAAGTGACCGGTGCCCCATTGCCTGGCTGGGTATGGGGGATGGCAAGATGGTAAAACTTGTCCCACTTCAGCCCCGGGAAGAACGTGACACGGCGGCCCTGACAGTGCTCGCCAGGACTGTCCCCACCACCTCACTGACACACAGCGGTTGCTACAAGAGCAAGCGGTACCTGAACCAGCCATTTCTTCCAGCGAATTCTGGTCTGACCCGTTGGAGACAGTCTCATCCCCCCGTACCACCGCAGAGAAAGCCGGCTCTTGCTGAGGGCTGAGCTTCATGGGGGACATGGTGGGCTGCTTCCCTCCCAGCACTGCATCCGAGCTGGTGCACAGAGAGATGGGTCAGGCGTGGGGTCCCTCTGGCATCCCCCTTCCCAGCTCCTGAAGCGGATGCAGGGAAGCTCCATGATGCTCCAGGGTACGACCCAGCCCTGAGCAGGGCAGCCCATGGAGAAGCCCCGCGTTCCCCATGGACATGGACAGGTCCATCACACCCACTGACCGCAAACATCTCCAACAAATGCTCACGCCCATGCCTTGCCTGTGTTTGGTATTGCTTTGCTCGAGTTTAAAACCTAGATCCGGCTTTTCTTGCTGCTGGAACAAACAAGTAACTCCTTTTCCTCACCTGCTCTTGGTCACAGATGAGCCTCTCTCCATCCCTGCTGCCATCTCACGCCCTTTCCATGTTATATCTTCTCTGCGTGGTCTGCACAGTTTCTCCAAGCTTTTTTTTTTTTTTTTTTTTTAAACTAATTTTGCTCCAAAACCCCAAGAGAACTCCTTCACCCTCTTGCAGAAGTTCTGGGAGGGGAAGAAGACGACAGTGGGAAATGCCCCGTGTTTGTCCCCAGCACCACGTGGTGGGTACAAGCCCTCAGGTCTGACTTTGCTGACCTGTTTCAATCAGCCTTTATGGTCAGGGAGACCTCAGGAAACTCCTTTTCTAAACAAACCCCTCTGGGGTGTCACATCGCCCACCACTTAGCAGTTTCTGAAGGTGTTGGTGTTTGAGCAAACCCCAGAATACTTGGGGCATGGTTGGGGCTGAGGGTCTCGGGCACTGCTCACCTGCCTGGAGACTGAAAGGAGGCGATGGGACTCACCTCCATCGTGGGACAAGTCCTCCATGGGGACTGCTGACTTTGGAGGTCCACAGGGCGCCCCAGGGAGTCCTCAGGGGGCTGTGGGTGGAGCGGGCTGTGGTCCAAGGAGCAGGCTGGATTATCACCGAGCTTTTAGGTTCTGTTGTAGCTGGTACCACTGTGGACTGTGACCCATGAAGGGACCCGGGGCTCTTCCGGCTTTGAGCTGGAAGGCAATATTGAGAGCAAGAAGAATCACCACCCACCTCCTGGTAGTCCTGGGGGCTGCCCCTGGGGGAGCCACGCAGCCCATCCGACACAAGGTTCTGTAGAAAAAGGGGGGGAAAAGGGATTTGCAAGCACTGCCAAACCTGTATTTCACTCTGCTGGGGCTTTTGGGGACAGCTGATGTTTTTTCCCCAAATATACCAGGCCAACCCACGTGAGGTCAATACACAGAGAGCAACTGCAGAGACTTGCATCACCCTAAATGCTCTTTCCTGTTCTTTCTCTTCCTTGTTGACTCTTTGGGTAAGGGAATGGTGTCTCGTGGCTATCGGTGGGTGGCCACAGGTCCCCACGGTTGGTATGTAGAGAGGACAGGAGGTCACTTCACCTGGGATGATGGAGAGCTGTTGAGGCACAGCACCACTGGGCTTCTTGCATCGCCTGACTTTCCTCATCACCGCTTGGACCAACTCATCCCTCAGGTGGAGGAGACCAGGAAATTTCTCAGCCTTCTGTTGCTGCTGAAGCCTGACCAGAGCCTGGAGGCTTTTGTAGGTCCGAGTGGAGATCCCCTTCGCAACCTAAAGCAGAGGGGCCCTGATGTTCTCCCACAGCACTGGGTGGTGAAACAAGCCCTCGGCAGAGCTTCTGTATCTCAAGAACATCCTGCAAACTCTGAGCCCTGTCCGAACCTCAAGGAAGCTCTTACCAGCCCTGATAACCCATCGTTTCCCAGCAAAATGCATCCCATGCAAACAGCCCATATTTGCAAAGCTTTGGTAAATCACTGCTGAAGAGTAAATCCCTGCTGAAGAGTAAATCACTGCTGAAGAGTAAATCACTGCTGAAGAGTAAATCCCTGCTGAAGAGTTAATCTCAACTATTTTGGGCAATTTCTAAGCTACAATGTAAGCGCAGCATTTTGTCTTGGGAGGTATTCACAGCTCGAGGAGCTTTTGTGACCATGAGTGTCCTGGGCTCGTACAGATGTAAAACGATGAGAAGCGAAGGGTGAAGGAGGGTGTGTGTGTGTGTGTGTACGCCTGTGGGTCTGCTCCTCCACTACTTTTGACACCGCCTCAGTGTTCCCAAATAACGTGCTGGGGAGAAGGGAGGACATGCCAGGAGCTCCAGCCGATGTGGAACGAACCCAGCAGCGCTCCTTAAAATCACCTCCAGGAAAAAAAATCACTCAAGAAGTCGTTCTGTCGCTGCTTTTTTTTTTTTTTTTTTTTTTGTGTGCCTTTGGGACCTGGAAGAGAAACGTTGCCTTGTGCAGAAACACGGGTCGACAGAGCAACGTGGGTCCCCGGCAGCCGTGCTCACCGCAAGGTGCTAGGTGGTGGTGTTGCATTGCCGGGAGCTCGGGAAGACTTCTCGGTGGTACTGTTTAATATGCTTGGCATGAAAAGGACTCGGACGGTGAAAGTCCCCTTGAAATCCCCATGACAGGGGCCTGTTGTGCCCTCAAACACCCCTCCTTCTCTAGAAGAGAGGGAGCCCTGGGTAATTTAGCATATGAAAGGCTGCTTGTGAGACAGATTTGCTGGAGAGATACTAATAACCGACCTCAGCGATGGGAGCGCGGCAGTTTATTCCCTCTGCGTGATTCTGCCTCCACCTTCCCATTCACCTCTCAGGCTGTGATTGCTCCAAGAAAGGGATTTTTTTTTAATTTTTTTTACTGCCTGTTAGTGTTTCGGTTGCTCCCCCCCCCCGCAAACAAAAAATAAAAAATAAAAAAAAAAATCAGTTTAGAGCAGTCTTTGTGTCCCTGCACTGGCTCAGGGCTGACATTGCAAATGCTGGCACTGAAAGGACAGACTTACTCTCTTGACCCCCATGTTCTCCAGCTTTTCCTCCAGCACTTCCTCCAGGATGGGGCGAAACTGCTTGAGGAGGTTTGGGTTTCTCTGCAGGGCTTCCAGCAACCTCCGCTTCCCACCCAGGGCAGCTTCTTCCCTGTCTGGAGTAAAGGTGGGTGCTGGTACCAGTGCAGTAGTGCACTGGGGGGAGGCTGGTGGGATCCTTCTCCTCTTTGGCGACGTGGGTCCCACCAGTCCCACAGCAAGCAACTGGCTGCCCTCAGCAGACTACATCCCTCTATGAAGGGGTGACTTCCTCCTCTAATTTGATTAATTCCTGGCCACAACTTTTCCAAAATCCCACCCACAGCCCAGTAGCTGCCTGGGATACCTTTCCTGGGGGAAGCATTGGTGGCAGGGCTGGTTGTGGTGCGGTCATACACCACACGACTGAGAGGGGAGCAGTGAGCTCATCCCCTCTGCCTCCAGCCCACCCCCACATCACCTCCAGCTTTGCCCAGGACCCCTCATCCTCACTGCACAACACCCCCAACACAAACGTCGGCTTCATCCTGGTGCTCTTGGCACAGAGATGGTCCCAACTCCGATACCCACCTGATGACTCTTCACCAGCCACCACTTTGGTCACCTCCTGGGTCACTGCAGGGAAGAAAGGAGCCTGTGAAGGTCAAAGTGGAGCTGAGGCCCCAGCGCAGAAGCAAGCGCTGATCACCACCTGGTTTTCCTATACGGAAAGTATAGACACACCTGTCCCTTTGGGGCTCCAAGCCTGGCCCAGGTCTGGCACACATTGGAGAACATCCCTGAGGGAAACCCCAGGGCGCTCCCCCGCCAAGGCCACCGGCTGGAGGGTGGCAGTGGGCAAAAAGCCCTCTGCTGCCGCTCAGGGCTGGGCTTGGTGACGTGCCCCTTGGGTATGTGCTAATAGCCGTCTCTGGTTTATGGCCTTTTTGGTTTTCTGAGCAGCAGGACCAGGGCACGTGTGTGGCCGCACCGCAGGCATGAGGGAGCTGAGAAGTCCCCATTTTCGTCCCCTGGCACTTGATCATAGAAAACCCAGGCTGTGAAGAAGAAACCACAGCGTGCCTCAGCTCCTTATTTTTATGCAAATAACCACCGGCATCATTTTGGAGGAGGCAAGGTCATCCGTTTGCTGTGAGATCTCATTCCTTTGGAGTACGGTGCCAATGCAAAACCCACCCAAGAGACAAGTTAGTTTTGTGCCAGCGACCAGAGCTGTGGTCGCTGCTGTTGCGGCAGAGAGTTGAGGGAGTGGAAGGTGTCCACTCCACGGCTTGGTGTGGGAGGACACACAGCCAGCTCCCCTGGAGAGGACTCCACGGCTTTCGTAGAGGGAGGCAGAGAAGGCATAGTGGTCTGAAGGGCTTTTAGCTATGAAAAATTGATCTACGTCCAAATTGGTTCACTGTAAAAATGCAATCATTACCTTCAGGTTTGCTTGCAGAGAGCAGCTTGATCTGCAAAGAAATAGACTGGGCATCATTCACCAATCATTTGTCTATAATTTTGGGTAATTTTACCTCTCTCTGCAGAGTATTACTATGAAATGCATTCAAAAAAAAGGAGAAGAAACCAGCAAGAGCCTAAAGTGGGCACATAAGCTCCCCAAGAGCTATTTCCCTTAAGCAGACCATACCTGTGAGGGGTCAGCTTAGGGGCTTTCCTTTCCATGATACGGTCACTAGCACATCAGACGCCGTCCTGTTATACCCCACGTGCTATTCACAGGTCTGACACAGAGTAAAAGATGCTCTGAATTGTAAAGTGTTGCTCTGGTGACCTGCACCCCAGTGGGCATGGATCGTGCCCATGATATTCATGTAATGCTTCATGTTTAATGAGCGCAAAAAAAAAAAAAAAAAAGGAGCTGAATTGTAGCAAAGGATTATAGAACGGGCTTGAAATTAGGCTTAGTCTCAACGCAGAAAATATTTCAAGGCTGCTTAAACACCTGCTTAAACCCCCTTGACGAACCCAAGCCTCCTTTGCTTTCTTTCACTTGCCTCCTTCTCCCGGGACTTCAGGACCTTGGGCTGCTCCCCGAGCCAGGTGCTCCGCTGATGGACACGGTCCATAACCACCTCCTGGGATGGGGCAGCACGGAGTGTCTTCTCTTTCGTCAACTGAGAGGGGCAAAAAAGGAATGAGAAGACTTGGACATGGTACAGATGAGTTTGGAGCCACCTCTTCCCTTCACCAGCAAGGGCAGCTCTCTGGATTTTTATTCATTGTTGAGATGTCCTCCAAAGTGCAGATCCAGCCTTGCAGAAGACATATGGCCAGCTTCAAAGTCTGCTGGTGGCAAGCTCCTGTCTCCTCATCGACCGCAACAGGACACTGCTTTGGTCGCTGCTTTTCGTTTATTCTTTCCCCTTGATAACCTAATAACTATACTCTGTTGCCCTGGGCTTTGAAGTCCAGCCATGGCTCATTTTAAGTGCGTAACCCCGCTCTTTCTGGCTACCACTGACTGGGCTGATATGCAGAGAGGACATCCCTGTTTTTTCCAAAGAGACCAAACATTTCTGGGCTTTGAAGCTAAGATGGAGAAAAACCATACGGGTCTTCCAGGCCTTTTCCAAGCGAGGTGCCTGGGAGCTGCCAAAGATGGCTGGCACCCACTTGGACCTCCTGTGCCCAGTGCTCCCTCAGTGACTGCACCACTCTGCCCTCTGCCAAATCAAACACGCAAGCCTTTCCCTCCTCATGCCATGGGCTGAGGGCTTCTTGCGGGCATGGGCACCTGATGGCGTTTATACTCAGAGAAACTTAGCTTCCCTTTGGGTCCCAAAGGACAGTTGGCACCTCAACAGTGGTGCCATTCCCACCCCACTCCATGTTCAGAGGCACCACACATGGTGAAGCCTTCTTCAGATGTTTTTAGATGTTGAGAAGGTGGCTGATGGGTAAATGAATTTGTTTATTTGGTACTTTAAGTGTTTCTCCATGCGGTGAGCTTCTTCAGTGCTCCGGTGAAGATGTGTTTCCCTGCAGTAAGTAGGGCTGACCTGGGACCATGACATGCCCTCTGCACCCTCCAGGTCCCATTTCTGGACTTGGACCGTCAGTTCTCTAGACCAGCAGGAGCCTGTTGCTACCTGAATGTGAGCTGAGAGCAGATGTCCGCAAAGCAGATACCACACAGAAGTGCATGGATGTGGGTCCACCTCCACCCAAACAGACCTCCTGGGATGTGCAGTAGGGGTAAGGACACGGGTACCACACTGCTCACCTGCACTGCCATCCTCTCGTGCTCTGCCCAGCTTGGTGTCCGGCCCCATCCCTCCTCGGTGTCATCGTCCCTCAGGCTCCCCAGGTTGGACACCGCCATCTCTCTGGCTCGAAGCTCCTGCAGTTTCTGGAGTGGGGAGAGGAAGGAGCTGTATGTCCCACGGGAGGCTCTGCTTTCTTCCTGAGGAGCCCAACCTTGGCCAGCCACTGCTTTTGATCCCAAAAGGCTTGTGTGCCCCAGGAGCAAAGAAACGAGGCCTCTGAGCTGTGAACTTGTGATGCCACCTGGGCCAGGTGAAGCAGCAGTCTTGGCCATCCCCTCACCTGCCTCGAGGAGCACGTGAGGGGCTCACTTACCCCCTCCATGGCACTGTTCCTGCTGGCCACGTCCTTGAACGCTGCGAGGAAGAGCTGCCTCAGGCTGTCTACCTCTTCGCGCAGCTTTGTCCTCTCCTCCTCTTTCCACCTTTCCAAATCTCTCCTGCCTTCCTCTTCTCGCTGGCGAGCTCTCTCCGCTTCCTAAAGAGAGTGGAAAAAATCAGGGCAGGAGACACCTTGGCTGCAGACCAGAAGCACCAAAGGGGTCTCCGTCGCCGCAGCCCTGGCGCCCGCAGGATGAGCACCAACGCTCTCATCACACCCCTCACCGCTCCGAGCCTGCCTGCGCTCCACCAGGCAGCACCAGCTGTTTCCACGGGACATTTCCCAAGGGGATTTTTTGGAAGGGGGGCAAATTTTCCAAAGAAACAAACACCAGCCCCACCATAAAACAGGTTTCAGCGCCTTTTTCACCTGTGCTTTAAAAATGTCCTGCATCTCATCGCTTCTCCTCCCCCCATATTTATTTCCTCCCCCCCCGCAAACAGGCAGCTGTGCCCTCGCCCCGTACCTGCTCCCTGCGCAGCTTCTCCGCTTCCCTCTCCGCTTCCAGCCGCTGCTGTGTCTCCCGTAGTTTCGCCTTCAGCTCCTCCACCTCATCCTCCATTTGCTCCACCTGC